GTGTCTGACAAATCATATGATTTTTAATCTTTATAAACTTACAAAATGATATGCATTGTGCATAAGTATAATCAAGTTAAATTTTGATCAAACATATTTTGATGTCATCAGTTTTAATATTTTTATGTGCAATTGATAARAACATATGAAAATGTTATTTATTTCAATATATTTTAGGTGTAAAATTAATTTTTATTGTTCATGTAAATTATCGAGCATGCGATAAATCAGATAAATTTTAAATTTATATGAATTTATCGAACATAATAAACGAAAAATAATATATATTTTCCAATAATGAAATGTGTAAATATTTAATATATCATATTAATCTAAATACATATATACACAACAAATAATATTGTCACAAATCTAATAATAAAAAGTTTTTAAAATATAAAAGAAGTTTTAAAAATAGATGATATGATAAGTCTAAATATTACATTTAGTTGGATTTAGATTTGTAAAACATGTATAAAGAGTTTATGCTATAAAATTAATAAGAATATGTAAAATTAATTGAAATATTTTCATTGGTTAATTTAAATGACATCTTCCTTGAAACCTTCATTGAGTGACACATAGAATTTTCACCTTAGTGTCTCTTCGATTAATATATAGAAGATAATTCTTAATTTATTTATAAATTCTAAACCTACTCAAATCATCTATTTTCTAAATGATTTAAAATTATCTAATACATACATTCAATGCAAACATTATCCGATCTATTGAAAATTTGTATAGTGATTCTAAATATCCGAATTACCGATATCTTATCCTATAGTTTTTTATTTATTTATTTGAAACTATATTATCCAATAGTTTAAATTATTATCTTATTGGTAAAATTATTATCCGGGATTCGAGATCCGATCCGTTATCCTTTCTTCCTCCAATACATGCTATTATACGATTATTATCCAAAATAGAGATATCTAATTATAATGTATAAATCTACATATATTATGTAATTTAAAATGTTACTAAAATTGCAGGTTTTGAGAGTGAAAAAATTCCATGTTGTACGGTAGTTGGACAAGTAAGTGGGCTTATTCCATGTGGTCCATCTTCCAAAGTATGTATAGACCGTTCCAAATACGTATTTTGGGATCCGTACCATCCATCGGAAGCTGCCAACATCATCATCGCCCGGCGTCTCCTCTCCGGCGACACCTCCGACATTTCTCCGATCAATATCCGGCAACTCGCTAACCTTAAGCTTAACAGATGAATCATCTATATTGATTGATATAATTAATTTCTTTGTTTATCATATATTGATTGATACGCTATTTATTTTAACATTTGTGTAATCTCTCTAAAAGAATTTGGAAGAAAAGTTTAGTGTAGTTTGGGTTTTGAATGTTAAGACATTATGTTTTTTTTTAGCATTTTTATGATTATCACAATGAAGTAAACGATGACATAAATTCAATTGGTCTATATCTTCTTTTTAAAAGTATTTTAACTATAGTATTTCGAGGTTAACTTTAATTTTCTTGAAAGACGAAATGTTGTAATGTAAAAGAAGTGGTAAACTAATGCTGTCAAGAAAACCTTTATCTTTTTCTTTGGTCGAAAATCTTTATCTTAAAACATATATTTGACTGAAAATGGTAGGGATCATCCTGGACATTTAAAAATTCAATCGATGTAATTTTAAAATGGTAAAAATTAAATATAAGGTGCTGTGGTGTAGTGGTTATCACGTTTGCCTTACACGCAAAAGGTCTACAGTTCGATCCTGGGCAGCATCATTTATATATTTTTTTTTATCTTTCATTTTAGTAAAGAAACGTAAAAGTGATTGGTCAATTAGGGTTTTACACTACAAAAAATTATTGGAGTACTTTTGATGCTTCTTGTAATGTATACCAGTATGTTATAGATTCTTGTCATATATATGTAAGTTCTATGTAATATATGAGCATGCAACAACTATTAAACAATTTCTTTCCTTCATTCATTTTTTTTAACATTATATTTTTA